TAAATCAAAATATTTGTTGTGTCGAACGTAAATCAAAATATTTTTTTTGTCCACCGTAAATCAAAATAATTTTTTGTCCACCGTAAATCAAAATAATTTTTTGTCCAACGTAAATCAAAATAATTTTTTGTCCAACGTAAATCAAAATAATTTTTTGTCCAACGTAAATCAAAATAATTTTTTGTCCAACGTAAATCAAAATAATTTTTTGTCCACCGTAAATCAAAATAATTTTTTTGTTCACTGTAAATCAAAATTTTTTTGTCCACCCTAAATCAAAATATTTTTTTTTGTCCATCGTAAATCAAAATTTTTTTTTTGTCCACCGTAAATCAGAATATATATTTTTTGTCCACTGTAAATCAAAATAATTTTTTTGTCCTCCGTAAATCAAAAAATTTTGTTTACTGTAAATCAAAATAATTGAGTGGTCAAATTAGAGCATTTTTTCTTTATAAGAATTCTTCAAAATGATAAAGATTTCTTAATGAAAATAATTCTTGTGAGGAATATAGAGAAAATTCCTCCTAAGGAGACCTGATCAACGGGACTATGATACCTACGTCAGGCTGAGAGTAGCTGCGCCTAACAGCCTGGTTGACCAGACCGCTAACGAAGAGGTGTCAGCGAGAGAGGAGTGATCGTCAGTAACTACCTCACTGGTAACGAAGACTCATCACACAAGGCTCGTTATGTGACCAAGTGGTTGTGCTGTGAACCACCTCCTCTTGTCTTAAAATCTTCGTTAAAGTCTACTCCTTCTATCTGGTCATTTAACGAACTCGTAAACTATCCTACGATGAGCTTCACAACCCCCCCCCCCCCCTGCCTGCCTGCCTGCCTCGCTATCCACTAAGCCGCATCAAAAGATATCAGGATAAACCCAGTTTGACATCTTCTATTAACGATATGGTTCGCTACGGCTTTTAATAATGATACGGTTCGCTGCGAGACCACCAGATAATTTGCTTTGTCTAGACGATAACTACCTCGTTACGATAAGAGCGAATGTCGCGGTAACCGCTGTTAAACTTTGCATCTGTTTCATCTGATGGGGAGGTGGAGGGCCTAGTTGATGGTCCTGTAACTTGTAATATTAACTTGTGTGTGTGTAATTGCCTAAGTGTAATTACAGGAGCTACGCTCGTGGTGTCCCGTCTTCCCAGTACTCTTTGTCGCATAACGCTTTGAAATTACTGACGGTCTTGGCCTCCACCACCTTCTCACTTAGCTTGTTCCAACCGTCTACCACTCTGTTTGCGAAAACAGTGTGTGTGTACTCACCTAGTTGTGTTTGCGGGGGTTGAGCTTTGGCTCTTTGGTCCCGCCTCTCAACCGTCAATCAACTGGTATACAGGTTCCTGAGCCTACTGGGCTCTATCATATCTACACTTGAAACTGTGTATGGAGTCAGCCTCTACCACATCACTTCCTAATGCATTCCATCTGTTAACTACTCTGACACTGAAAAAAGTTCTTTCTAACGTCCCTGTGGCTCATTTGGGTACTAAATTTCCCACCAGTGTTAAATAGATTGTCTTTATCTACCCTGTCAACTTTACCCTACCTTGAACTTTATAGATGGTGATCATGTCTCTCCTAACTCTTCTGTCTTCCAGGGTCGTGAGATTCAGTTCCAGTAATCTTTCCTCGCAGCTCATTCCTCTCAGCTCGGGGACTAGTCTGGTGGCATACCGCTGAACCTTTTCTAACATCGTTTTGTGTTTGACTAGATGTGAACTCCATGCTGGAGCCGCATATTCCAGTATTGGTCTGACATATGTGGTATACAAGGTTCTGGATGATTCATTTCACAAGTTTCTGAATGCAGTTCTTATGTTGGCCAGCCTTGCATACGCCGCTGATGTTATTCTTTTGATATGGGCTTCAGGGGACAGTTCTGACGTGATATCAACCCCTAGATCTTTCTCTCGTCCTGACTCCTGAAGGATATCCTCTCCCAACTGGTACCTTGTGTTTGGCCTTCTGATCCCTTCGCCTATCTTCGTCATATTGCACTTGCTCGAGTTAAACTCTAGTAGCCATTTGTTGGACTATTCCTTCAGTCTGTCCAGATCATCCTGTAGCCTCTTGCAATCCTCCTTTGTCTTAATCCTTCTCATAATTTTAGCATCATCGGCAAACACTGAGAGGAATGAGTCTATACCTTCTGGAAGATCATTCATGTAATATCAGAAACAAGATAGGACCGAGTACAGAGCCCTGTGGGACTCCGCTGGTGACATTACGCCAGTCTGAAGTCTCACCCCTCACTGTAACTCTCTGCTTCCTGTTATTTAGGTACTCCCTTATCCACTGGAGCACCTTACTACTTACTCTTGCCTGTTTCTCCAACTTATGCACCAGCCTTTTATGGGGTACTGTGTCAAACCCTTTCTGACAGTCCAAGAAAATGCAGTCTGCCCACCATTCTTTCTTGCTTAATGTATGTTGCTTGGTCATAGAATTCTATTAAACCTGTGAGACACGACTTGCCATC